TACATTCCTTACATAGTAAATTAAAATATCCAATAGGGTTACGAGAATGTCCCTACTACAACAGCTCGTAAAAAGAAGTAAATAAATAATTTAAAACAAATAGATAAATCTCCTAGGGGTTAACCTCCACTAGCTCTTGAAGGGATTGGGGAGGTAAACTACTTAAAACCTTCTTACTGATCGAAATCTGGATCTTGGTCATCTTTTTCTGAAATGATTAATAGAAGAGTGAACTACACTAGCCCAGTAGGAATATCACACTAATCACTGACACATAAAATAAAAGTTGGTAACAATTACAAAATAACTAATGGAGCCTTTAATTTAAGTGAATTCATTTAATATCAAAACTTTATTTCCATACTTACTGTTACAAGTTTTCAAAACTGTAACACCCTGTTTTTTTTTTCATTTAACGGCGCAATCTAAGACAATCCCATGACCCAACACGCAAGTCTCATACCAAATCAATCACATACAAAGAAACTTGTCCACAATTCATTATTCAAACTCAATGTAAACTTACAATCCTATATATACATCACAGGGTAAGACAATCTCATACATCTCCAGCAGACATTAACCATACTAATATAAACTTTTACACACTACAATCCGCCCACAAAGATAATCCTTGCCCTGTGGCGCTATAGACTAGGCTCGGAAACCAGTAACTCAAATCCCGACTCCATTCCTACTTCATCTGTTAATGATAAAAAGTGAGTTCACATAACTCAATACGGTAAAAATCAAGTTGCAGGTATAATATACAATAACAAGAAATTCAGTATGTCTATATGCATTTCATCTACACAACCTAAGCCATACCTTAGAACCACCCTAGAACTAGTCATCTTTAACTTACCCCGAAACTCTAGTTATGGTTACCAGTAGCACATACAACAATAGAAAATCCAATATTCCCATAAGTACCCTATCTATATAACCTAAGTCCTGCCTTAACACCACCCTAGAACTATACTAACTCAACTTGTCCCGGTAAGTTAGTTATATTGCATATCAAACGTGACCGCCTTCCGAAGTCACACCATGAGCACATGTTCTCACTCATCACCAACATCGGTGACCAACACTCAATCTTCTACCTCTCAACCCCTAATAAGCCACACATACACACATAGATACCATTCTCTCAAGTCACCAACATCGGCAACCCAATCCCTTGTCCGTCGGGGTCTCCCGACCATCACCACTATCGGCGATCAACTTACTTTTTCTAGGTAGTGACACCAATATCGGCGTCCCCCAAAGCTACCACTAAAGGACCACACCATCCCGTACTCGCTTCATCATGTTATCTTGAGACTCCCCTATTCCTTTACCCGGTATACCGACCCTACACACATCTCCCCGTATGACACACAATAACATTTCACACATACGCCGGTAATGTTCCCTCGCCAACCCTTAAATATACAGAAGCTATACCAACCTATATCT